AGCCTTGCTATATACAGCAAAGGTATGTACGCAAAAAAGCCTCACTCGTTACTTATTGGCTAAAAGCCTACACTTTAATCACGGTGTTTCCCAATTTTAAAAATCATTAATTATTATTGTTATCTCCGCAGATGAATCATCAAAGCTGATAAACTAAGAAGAACAAAGGCCCAAGCAAAGCTGGTTACAAAGCCCATGTATACATCAAAGAAATTGAGGCTCCAACCTACAAAACAAAAAACATAATTTATTTGTTAAATATTTTTTTAACCAAATTTTTTGATAGTGACCCACCCAGCATCTGTTAATCCGTGGACTATGGGAGTGACCTGACCTGAACGAGTTGGTTTGGTGTTGCAGCAGCAAAGGCTCTATGTAAACATTTGAGAAGTGGTGTTGAAATGGACAAAAACTGATCATAAAGACCTAAAGCTTGTTGCAGAACAAAACATAAACATAAACCTAAAACTTTAGGGATGTATAGCTGAATGTTTATATTTATCTCCAAATCTGAAACCTAATTTGACACATTTTGTCACATTTACTATTTATTACCATTGTTATTAAATTTATTAAATAATGGAGTGTTTTATGTTGATAGGGAATTCGAAAGGAAGAGCATAAATCTTACCTCGTCCTAAAACACTCCGTAAGCATTCTATAGCATATGTCTGAGGCATAATTTGGCTAAAGTAACGCAGTGGATATGGAATGCCCTCTAATGGCCAAATGATACCTGTAAATGGAATATAAAAATAACTGAACACATTTTTAATAACAACAATAACAAGAGCAATAATACGTTGATAAGACCAACGAGGATGGACGATAAAAAAACAAGATAAGTAATTGATTTAACAACCAAAATGGTTGGAGCTATGGTTGTGCTTCAACCAGTGGCGGCTCTAGGATATATTTTCTAGGGGTAGGGTCAAGCTGTCCGACAGGGGGAATTGAGCTCGTAGGCCCGAGCTGTGGGAAAGGGTTGAAAGGGGGTTAAGCTCCTAAATAAAAATTTTTTTAGAGAATAGCTCTGGATGGCCGGAAATGGCACCCTCAGACTGTGACAGATATGTGTTGGCTTGGTGTGGGCCTTTTTATATATTTTATTAAATTTTTTATGGTCTGACTGCCCTGGCACCGCCACTGGGTTCAACCTCTTAACCTGAGGTGGTGATAATATAATATTCTTAAAAATCACCAATAATATTATAATACTAACCACTAAGAAGAATGAGAGGGTAAAAAGATCCCAGAGAAAACTGCATGGCAGAGATTTCACTGTCGCAGACACTAGAGACCATCAGACCAAAAGCCATCCCAATCAGGCCTTGCAACAAGGTGAGTAAAATCACTAAAAATAGTGAGCCCTCATTTGGCACCTGAGAAATCAAACCAAGGTTTAACTGACAGAAATGCTTCCAAAATTAGAACGAAAAATAATAAATATTATTTCTTAATTCAAATAAATAAATAAATAACAATAAACAAAAATAATATATATTCAAAGAATGCCCAAAAAACAGCACAAGGTGTAGCAAGTTGAAGGCTTGTATGAATAATGTCTCCATAATATAAATAACAGTAATTAATAACTATATTGATAATACAACAATAATCATGTAAATTATAAGAAATTTACTGCCATGGTAAATGGTGTGAATCACTTCACTGTATTCCAATCTAGGTATAATTCTATCTTGTAGCACATTTTGTTCTGACAAAATATATATATTATGAAAAACCTCCTCCCAAAGAATGGATTGATCCTTAAAAAACATGGGATTGTGAGCATTTTAAACGTCAAGGAGCAACTTCCCTCCATTGCTTTAAAAAAGCATTATTTGTAATTCATCACAGACACTTACATCAAAGACGAGAAGTATGAAGATGAGGACAACAGTAGTCTGCACTGACATGATGACAAACTGAACCGCGACATGCGCCACCATCACTTCAGTTGCACTGGCCCCTGAAAAAAGACACTTGACTTACGACCTCTTTAGGAGTGATCCCATCAAAATGGAGCTCACATTACAAAACAATTATCATCTATTTATTTATCTTTATATTGCTATTGTTATTATTACTGTTATTACTATTACGTTACTAAAACCCACCTTAAGGGGAACTTAGACAATGGAGAAATTAGAGAACAATTAAAAAAACGATGTTAAGGGGAAAATAACACAAAAGATATTCCCCTTAAGCCCAACTTAGCGCATATTATTATTACTACTATCATCATCATCAACCTCCATATTATCATTATAATTTTCCTTATCCTGATAACATTCTTCATCCCTATCACCATCATTACCAATACCACCATCAGAATCACTACCACAAGCATCATCTCTAGTGTCATCATCATCATCATCACCACTACCATTATCACCACCACCTACACCATCATCATACCACAATCACCAACAACCTCACCACTACCATTATCAAGACCACCTACACCATCATCATACAACCATCACCACCTACACCATCATCATACCACCAACACCCTCACCACTACCATTACCACCACTACCATTACCACCACCACCTACACTATCATCATACCACCATCACCAACCACCTCACCACTACCATTACCACCACCACCTACACCATTATCATACCACCATCACCAACCCCCTCACCACTACCATCAAACACTATGATGACCCACTAATAAACTATTCAATTTGAATCGAAGATGAAAAAGAATAATCATCACCTGCTACCCATGTTCTTTCCAATAAGCCTTCCTTGCGATCCATTACGAATGTTAGACTAGTTAGTGCCACGGCTAAGAAGAATATTATACTATAAACAAAAAAACAAAAAAAATAATATTATTGGATTTTTTAATTCAGTGGTTTCATTTGTCCTCTCTGCAATTTGATTCAACACTGGAATAAAAAAAAAACCTTCAATGATACAAAGATTTTCAGGCATTTTGCTACATGACATGAGGGAGACCAGGGTTTGAAAGAAATCATGGGAGTGAAGATCACTCTCATCATGAGTTTACCACTCAAACATTTTGTACAATTGTTTTTAATTTTAACATTCCACCTCTAGTGAGATGACAAACAACAGAGTAAACCAACTCATTATTAAATATAAACATACAACCGTTGTTGTAGCTTAGTGGTTAATAATTGCCTCCTAATCTGAAGGTTGTGTGTTCACATCCTTTCAGAGAGTAAGATTTTTTCTCACGGCTAAGAACAGCTCCACCCCTTAAGCCTTGTATATTTAGTTTATAACCATCACTTCCATCCACAATTGGCAAGTCAATAAACAGACTGCTAAAACATTAATACAGTGAATTACGTAATAAATTACGCGAATTATTAAGTTATAAAAAATATTACATAGGATTTTACCTTAGAATGACCCCCGGAGCCATGAAATCTGTAAAATCAGAGTCTTGAGTTCCGTAAATTGGACTACCAAACTGAAAAAAACAGAAGTGGAAAATGAATTGCCTATTAATATGGAACATAATATTGTGGTAAAATACAGTAATGCTTAATTAGCAAGGTATTAAAATGTGTATGTACTACTGCAGACCTCACCTGTAGAGGGAGCTGTGCAATTTCTGGATTAATTTTCGGCACTTTTATACTACTCAGCAGGTCTGTAATAAATTGCTATACAAAAAAAAAATTTAAAAAAAATTACAAAAATCATTGAAACTGCCAAAATTATTTTGAGGTGTATCCTGTGGCCCACACCTTCCTTCAACACCAACATCTCAAATGTTTCTACTCATATCATCCAACTGCTACCTTAAGTCTGAAGCCATATGAGTAAATTCATTCATTTAGGCTGAGAAAAGAGCAATTCGTAGACCTACCTGGTAGGCTAAAGATAGTGTTTGTTCTAGTGAAAGAGCAATTTGTTGATCTGCAAGAGTAAAAAGCATCAGTAGTTATGACATCATCAAATCTTATTGACTTTGAAGACAACATTTTGAATGTAATGATACCCTATTACTGCATATTTATCTACTTCTTGTTTAACGAAGCAAAAAAAAACTGCAATGCAGAAGAAATCACTCACTTCAGAATATTGTTGATCTATGAATGAGACACTTACCTGTATGAATAAAATATGTATTATTTATGTATTTTATGTGCTGTAAATATGTAAATAACTTTAGTAACTTTTACATTTTTAAATAAAATTGTTAAAAGAGGTGATATATTTATATATATTTTAATGAATTCAAATGTATTATGCAATTTTGTACTGTAAAAGCTGCCAGGAGAGCCATACATATTTTGTTGTGTTACTGGTGAAATAAATGATATGATATAAGTAGACAAACAGATATAATACTAGCATATTATATCTGGCAATGCCAAAAATATAAATGTATAAAATGTTCACATTATTAATACTTACTGGTTAAATCAAGTTGAACATGTATTGTACTGCCCTCTATAGTTTCATTATCAACTTTTGTTCCTTCCAAAAATCTGTAAGTGCAAAATTATGACAATGTTTTAAAATAAATTTTCATTTATGTATTAATTAATTTTTTCAGTCATTTTAAATGGTATAAATGGTAAGAAAAATAAAAAGTAAATCTATATATTATGGCCTTTGTTGAAATCAACAGAATTTTGATTAGGAAGGAGCCACAGTGCCTGCAGTGTAACAATTAAACGACCTTACATCGAGAAACAATCCCCGCTTCTTTTTGAATAGCATACCAAGTCCCTTTTTATGCACATGTGCTGTTACTTACATGGGACCAATGGCTTAATATACCATCTAAACTTACCGTTTGACCAAGTCTGTACTATATGTAGGTGCCATGTATATTGTACCCCAATATTTTCCATTTCTTGCATCTTCAAAGGCACTAGTGAAGTTATCATATGGATGCTAAAAATTGTTGAAAAGACAAAAACAAGTTTCATCAACATTTCAGAAATACAGCAATGACGATGTATCACGTTAGTGGCGATGGTGACGATGATATTGATTATAATGGTGATTGCAATCCTATACCTCTCAAAAGCTTCCCAATGGTTTCATGTTACTCACTTGTACAAATTCTGATGGCACCAGTAATATTCTTCGTAGGAACTTTAACTAACCTGTATAATGGTCTTATTGTCAAGATGCCATAGAAACCGCTGGCTGTAGTTGAGAGGTGATGTATCCAAGTTGACAACTGCCATGTGAAGCCCTGCTGGGGGATTACCGATGCACAAACAAAACAAACACACTTCAACCACAGGTATCAGAAAGCTGAAAACTATTGACCTGTAGAAAGGGTAAATATCACACTGTTAAATATACTGCCAACTAAATCAAATATAAACTCAAAAATAAAAACAATTAAATTGCTTAATTTGGGTATTTTATTACATGGTTAGCTTTAATATTAGAGATTAAAGAAAATCGTTAACTTAAGTGTCGAGTCGAATGGCCGAGCGGTTAGCAGGGGCGCTGCAAGCTATAGCCATAATATCGGCGCTGGTTCGAACGGCACGCTCGCCTATGGTTCTGGTGGTAGAACAAGTCTTCTTGGATAAGGACTATAAACCGTAGGTCCAGTGTATACAATGGCTCGTGTGCACTATAAAGAACCCAGTACATCCTTCGAGACTAGTAGGGGGATACCCCGGTGTACTGGAACAGACAGCCCCTGTGGTGGACGACGAGAGTTGCTGGTACCTGGTTACTGGGTAGCACAGACATGAAGGGACCCTTAGGGGTGAAGAAAGTCATTGATCGAGTTCCTAGTCCACATATCAAGCGCCCTGAGCATCTTACATTAGATGGATATGTGCGCTATATAAAACTACACTATTATTAATTATGAGGCATTTAAAAATGGAGATATTTGGTAGCTTTCGACGCAAGAACAGAATCACTCATGTGTGACCTCCTACCAAGCATCATACATTCTCTGCATATGTAGACTTAGCCAAATTGCATCCTAGAATCCACGCGACAAGGAGAATTTAACGTTCTCGCATGCGCAGGTGACTTTATGTGACGTCATTACGTTCTACGTCCTACTGTCGTTGTGCAATCGTAAGCTCCCAAATATTTACCCCGGGTTACGGATGAGTCGAATGAAGCTCTTAAACATCATAGCTGCGATGTTGCTTGAACTTGGTAGAAATTCCAGTTTTGAGCAGGACTGCTTGAATGATACTAGTAATACAAGATAATTTAATTATTATTACAATAAAATATGTTTCATTGCATATTGTTACATTACTGTTTACAAAAATATTGTTCTTAATAAGTCATTGTCATTCTTATTATCAATATATTATTATTATTATTATTGAATCATACCTGTTGGTTTTGAATCATCAGGGATAAGCCTGGATGTGTCTGTTGTATTTTCTTTTATCATTTCATCAAAATGTAATTCTCCATCACCTTGAACGTTCATTGATGTATGATGACTGGAAAATGTTGCCACCTATAATAATGATAATCATTAATGTTAACCTTGTACCTGATTTCTACTTCATTGTTTGAGATAGACTCCTAAATACCTTGTTAAACAAAACAAGTATACTGTATTGCTTTACAGAACTGCGAGTATCTGGTTTCAGGGCAAAGAGGGAATGAGGAAGATTATGTGATTTTGAAACACATTTGTACAGTGTACTGGGATGGATGATTCTATTATTTTTGAAGGGTGGGAAACATCAACCACAAAATAGACATACTGTAAATGTTCTGTAACCATTCTCTTACCTCTTCGTTACTAGTACTCTCCTTCATGCATAATTTTAAAAACACTCCCTCTAGTGTCTGCAGAAATAATAATTAAAACAAGATAATCAAAGTAATTAAACATTACTAATATAGTAAATTGGAATGAGAATTTTGATTCTATACTTTAGTAATTGTAATTAATCACATTAGGGTTATTTGATGGTTATGAAACTTACGTTGAATATACAGTTAATCTTGCCTAAAGTGGACTTTGTCTAACTCAAATAATTTCTAAGCTGTTTGTATTTTACATGCAAAGTTGTTGTGTTTACATTAATTAACCATTTGTAAGTCGAAATTTATCTAAGTTGAACAATTTTTCAATGCTATTTTGGATTTCAAATTTGGCAAATTCAAACTGAATGAAATTTTTTTCTGTATTCTTCTTGCCTGCATTTGATGATAAGACATAAGATCTTGGGGAGGAGATTCTGATAATAGTTTACCACTTCTCATTAATCCCACCTGAAAGAAATAACAAACAAGTCTTTATTAAAATGTTTACAAATTACAAAGTTATATTTGAAAAACAATACAGAAATTAATAGTAGAAACAGGTAAAAAGAAAAAAGGGAAAAAGAAGCAATGAAATAGAAGCAAGAAAAAAGTAGGTAAGAGACAGACAAGCAGGGAACCAAAACAAGAGACAGGACAAGAGAAGCATGGTACGATAATCAAGGAAAGATAATCAGGGGAAGATGGAGGGAAGATATACAGGAAAAAATAAGCATGGAAAAGAGAAGCAGGAAAAGAGAAAAGAAGTCAAGAAGAAAAGGCAAGAACAGAAAAGAAAAGAGTAGCAGGAAAGGAGAAGCAAGGAAAGAGAAACAGGAGAAAAAAACAAAACGGAGAAACAGGAGACGAGTAACAGGAAGGAAAACCAGGAGGGAGAAACAGGAAAAGGAAGCAGGAAAGAAGAGGAACAGAAAAAAATAGCAGACAAAATGAAGCAGGTAAGGAGAAGCAGATAACAAAGAACGTACACTACAGGGAAGTTTAAAAAAAAAAAAAAAAAAAAAAAAACGAAAAAAAAAAAACACCACAACTTACACAGTCAGCTTGTCTAGCTTCCTCAATATAATGTGTTGTGATGATAACAGTTGCTTTGCCTTCCCTGGTTAGGTTTATAAGGTGCTCCCAAATTCTACAAAGAAATATGTATTTTAAAAGATTATACAGCAGATAGGCACATTATTAATATGTAAAATAACAGCTCTCATGTACTATGCAATCAAGCTCGATTCAGTCTCTCGCACAATGAGGTTCAAACTCTCACTGTGCATTCCACTTGTGTTATGTAATACAGTTCTCACTCTCTACACCTTTGAGCAATAAGGAGGTACCTGGTAGGTTTAAAAACCAATGCACTGATTACTGCTGCAGTATTATGGTATGTACATATGGCATTTCATTCAATGACTGGGGTCATAAGGTGATAAGCATAATTATGGTCATGAAAGTATTAATACTGTTGTCATTATTATAATATTACCTCATCCTTAACATAGGGTCGACTCCTACAGTTGGTTCATCAAGTATCAGCAGCTCCGGTGAGTGAAGCAAAGCAACCGCAAATGAAACTCTTCTCTTTTGTCCACCACTACCCAAAAACAACAATAATAAAACTGATTAAATAAAGCAAGAATTTGAAAATTAAAATTCAATGAAATAAGTTATTGAATGACCTCACGAATCTAAATTGTTGTCAAACTTCAAAATGTGTAGTAATCTCATTAAATTGCCATGTTTTACCGACCTTAAATTTGAAATCAGACTTTTTGGTTCTGGTAGATGAAGTAGCTCTAGCAGGAATTGTTTGCGAGTGTGTAGACTTTCTTTACTCATCTTACACAATGTTCCAAAGTAGGTCAAAGTTTCATTGATAGTAAATTCACTATAGAGGGCAGTCTCCTGTTTATAGTAGAAAGAAAGTTTGTTGTTCAATTAATGCTTGGTAATTAATAATATCTTCAATGCAAAGAATTCCGAGTCAGCTAAATCTGAGTCAAACCCATCGCATGTAATAGTATAGACAATAATTACCTAACTATGTGATTTACTTCAACTTGGGGCAGATTCAAGAGGGGAACACTGCTACCTAGGCATCTACATTTTCAAGTCTGAGAGTCCCATTTCCACACAACTGGAATATCAGGCAATTCACATTACCAATTTAAATTTCTAATTGTTTGTAGTTTAGCATAGTTACCAACCTGAGAGATTTGAAATGCGTGACTACACCAGTTGGGTGGTTGGGGGGAGGTCTGCCAGGGCCTATGGGGTCCAGGGGCGAAACTTGGTGGGGGTCTGGGTTCTAACGATTGGTTGTGACAATGAACGAGTAAGACGCCACGTGACTACTACTAGATTCTACTAAGTGCGTGGTTGGCTAGGTTGTTTTGGTCAGGAATGAGAGATTTTCTAGGTGAATTGATTCTCGAACGAGATAACAAAATGACTCAAGCTACTGCATGATCTTTTTTATATTTTCAATAAAACCAATTTCATCTAATTTTAAATACATTTTTCCCTGAATTCATGATAATTCGCTGTCACGCATCACCTTGAAACATGGGACTGTCCCGCATGATGCAAGAAGTTTGGTAACTACGAGTTTAGGAATCTAAACATTTGTTAGGGCCTTTAATCCAAATCTTTATTTATATATTAATTGTATTCTCTACCTGAGGCATGTACCCCACCATCGGGCCAGGTACCCCATGACCTCTGGTCAAAGGAGGCTTTCCGCAGATGAGGATGTTACCACTTTCAAATCGTAATCTTCCGAGGCAGCATCGTAATAACGTTGTCTTCCCACAGCCACTTGCTCCCAGTAATCCATATCTAAGCCAAACATAAAAGTGAAATTAATACAATGTAAAATATAATATTGATTACTTGGCCAAAAAAAATGTATTATGTGATGTGTATGCAGGTTCAGATTCAAGGTCCAGCCCTCACTCCCTCAAATTTTTGAAAATTGGAAGCAAATTTACAGTACCATTTCCAACAATTTCCTGTAGGCCTAGATGTGCCACAGCCATTATTACCTCAGCTCCATCTATGCTGTGGCTTAGATGGTCTAGACTCTGTTGAAAGTCACACTCTTGGGCTACCTGTATTCCTACCTTAAATTCCTGGACCCTGGTAAAAGTCACCCTGGGCCACCTCTAATTCCTAGATCCGCCATTGGTTTATCTGTTTTTTTATTTACTTGGCCTAACAGTTATCATGTGTTGTATGCATGCACGCATGGGACATTGACAGCTGTATGTAATAATACTGTATTCAACTTATTTTACAACTTACATACTGCCTTGATGTACTGTCATGTTAAGACCATCCAACACTGATAATTTATTCTTCCCTGAGCCATAGTGCTTGTGGATATCTCTTACTATGAGTGCAGCATTACCCGTATTCACAGTGGATGCCATTTTCGGTTCCTTTCAGTCACTGATTGTAGCAATCTGTGCAAAAAAACTTATGTACAGTATTATATAACAACAATTTTTATTCAAACACTATAGTTCAAATAAATTCAATTTACTGGTGTATTACGTACTGTACGCACTCTCTAAATGGATCCAATTTATTGCCCTGAACATGGAGAAATGTTGGATGAGTTTAACCACTACACAGATTCCCTATCTTGAATCAATAGTGCTATTTGGATAATACTGATTATCACTAACACAGAATTCAAATTAAACCAATTGAGTAGTTGACAAAAGGACCATAGATATACCGCAACACAAAAAAAGAATATCAAGAAAAAAAAAAAATTTGAACTTTGAATCGTAAAACTCTACAAATACTCTACTCTACTATAAATATGTCCATTGCAAGACAAATTTTAAATCATTCAAATTTTCAGTTAAAACAAATAACTTAAATTATTAAATAATAATAAATTACTTAATTAATACAAAATATATTCAAAATAAGTCAGGGGTCCCAAGTCTCCTGGAACTCCCAGGAGTCACATTCTCCCAAAAATCCATATTGTCTCAAGCACTCCTGCAAACAGCAAAAATCTCCCAGAAATTCACTTATCTCCCGTAAATTCAGTTAAAAACAAATCTTTTTGTTTTACTTGAGCATAAACTTTGGTTGCCGATTATTTTTTGCAGTCTGACTTTGCAATTTCCGGGCTTCTAAAGGTGTCATCACCTCAACCACAATCATGGTGGGCCTGAGGTGGGTGTGGCCCTTCGTTTGGTACCTACACTTTTTCCTCATAGAATATATAGCGCGCCCCTATTGTCATTCAACGAATCTCCCGGAAATGGGTTCTTCCAACTTGGGCTCCTGTTAAGTTGAATTTACGTGGCAGTATTATTCTTAATTTTTCATTTATAACTTTCTTCTGTGGCCTTATAACCTCATTCAGGGGAAGTTCTAATAAACTAAAGGTGCTCATTTAAAATAAAATGATCAGGCCTAGCAAGGAGGTATACCTCCTTGGGCCTAGGTAGGTGCCTAGAGGTGTATAAACTTTCCCATACTGTGAAGTTTTTTAATTGCACAGAGGATATCAGGCCCATATGCAGGATTTTTTTTGGGTGGGTGAAATTTGTGAAAAGTGACCAAAATGACATCCCTTCTGAGGTCGAGTGGGCAGAGCCCCCTCCCTCTCAGACATTCTTGACATTTTGAGGCCTTAATAGACTTTCAAGATACAATATTAACTGAGTATTAAACATTTTTTTTTCGGTGACAGTCCAGGAAACAAAGAGGCCAGGGAGGGAGTTTCAGAGAGGGAGGGTCGATATGGTCAGGGCTGAGGTAAGAAAATTTTTAATTATAGCACCCCTAGGCAGCCGGAATGCTACATTAAGACTTAAAATTTGAATATAATTTTTTAATTTTTTTTTATTTAGCAGAGGGCCTGGGCCAGCTTCCCCAGGCCCTGAATCTGCCACTGGACTTAAAAGCCAACATTATTCAGTGTTTTTATTTTCCAATGTTCTGTAGGCTATCAAAATTTTTGATAGGCCTAATGATGAATATATCAACTTTGATATATTAAGGAAACTGATCTATACAAAATTAAATCAATCTAATAAAAACTATACTACGGTTAACGTTCATTATATATGATTAAATTTTAAAAATTGTAAATAAGTTGAGGTTGGAGTAAATCATTCCCTACAAATTGGACATATACATAGTGGTGTTTCTGATTTTCACAGCAATTCAACATACTATGTAAAATTATAGCACAAGGAAATAAAACATTATTAAATTTAAATGTAAAGTAAATAAGGTATCTATAGCGCACAATGAAAAATGCCTATAATATTAATGGGCATTGAAAATACTAAATTTTCACCATAAATGTAAATGTTATATATTATAAATATTATATAATATGAATTAATGGAAATTGTGAATATGAACAAATGATTACAAGCGCTTTACTTCATGGATGAGGTACCTGTAGGCGTCAAAAATATCTAAAATCGAGAATTCATAAAATAAGCCCATTAATACTGATCTGATTGGGAAGAGGGCAGGGAAAGCAATAAATCCCTTTGTTGTTGTTTTGAAGCGAATACGTCCCCCACCCTACCAGGCCAGGACTTTAACATAATTATGGGGGCCGTGGGCGTGGCGAATTCAGGAATTCGAAATAGATGGGGGAAGGGGGGTCTAGGTAGGCCTAGAGGAACTTTCACAGAAATAAAGACCCAGGTCTATCCACCTCAGTCTGAGTCGGCCCCACCATGGTTGAGGTGGGGGAAAAATGTATGATTATGGCACCTCTAGATAGCCGGAAACTGCAATCACAATAATAAAAATAATTCTTTCTAGCGAAACCTATAGAGAGAGAAAAGATGAGTTTGTACGCGGCGAGTTCTTGACACACAAGCGGCGGGACTAGGCCTACCTACTACTAATCTAATACAGTACTACTACTACTACTACTACTACTAGGCTAGCCTAGCCTGGCCTCTCTGGGGCCTAGGTCTAGGAAAGACTTAAACTAACGAAAATTCTCTTGACAGTTATCTATGTCCAGGTCTTTCTACTCACTACCTTACTCCATACCATGGTGCTACAATCAACTAAACATACCGTACGATGATAAAAGATTACAATGTTATTGTTAGAGTTGTAGTCGATCGGACAGGCTTCACTTCACGACTAAACACACGCCATCTCACGGCCAAATTCGCCCAAACTTTTTTTTATAGGCCAAAATTCGGCCAGATTTTAATCCGATTAGAAGACAATGTGGGTACATAATATTCATTTAAAATACAAAAATTACACGAAAATCAACTGTCATTTGTTTGAAATTGAAGAAATTAAAATGATAGGCCAATACACAGAACAATGTTTTTGTTTTTATAATTAAACACCATAATAAAATGGCCAGCTACATCATATATTAATAGGCCTATGTTTATAATTTGATGCTAGCATGTAGGCCTATTTAAAGTCACATTAATAAGATCGATCTAAATTTGATTTTAAGGGCCTGTTATCGAATCTTCAAAGACAAATCTGTGGCTCTCTTTAATTAGAAAGTTACATTAGTAAGGTAACACAAACCGGTGTTAAAACAAACCTATGAAAACTTTAATAAATACTTTTTATCTAAAACTTTCTAAATTCTGAATGTTATTGTTGCCGTTATTATTAAAGCAATAAAATCAATGTCGCTATCAGAACTATCTTCTTATGATTCTCATAGGCCTATACAGCCTAAATTCAGAGTAAATTCGAAGAAGTCTCAGCAACACCTGCTTGAAATTGGAATTGCCATTGGACCCGAATGATCACATCGAGCATTTATATGGCACTTCACATAAAGAACACTGCGCCTACACTACAATAATTATATTATATTTTATTCAATTCTCAACCAAAAGAGATAGAAACTAGGCTGGAACATATAGAAAGAAACAAAATAGGCCCTATATGGTACAAATTTGCAATAAACTGTCTTCATAAAGTTCTAAACGAGGATAAACGTCTAAAAAATACATATTTCATCCGAACAATTTAAATTATTAAATGTAACTGCTAATAAACTCTCTTACGTCAACTCGGCCAAAGGAGGGGGGGGGGGACATAAACATAAGTGTTTAGTGCGAATACGACTACGAACGTTCAATGTACAAGTACACGATTAGAATCAAATTTTTTGTACAAAATTAACAACATGTCCAAAACAAGCCTACGTTTCATTAGGCCTATATTGAAAAAATGTAAACTTTTCACAAAATTCGGCCAGAGTTTGGCCGTGAATTTTTAAACGTTATGGATTTGAGGAATCTGGCCGTCAAAAAGGCCAAATGGCAACCCTGGTCAGTGGTGCATACCGACAAAAATAAGATAGGCTTTGAGAGGCCTCATTCATTCTTGACTTCATGTCATTTAAAAAATCACTATATGATTGAATACAAATTGAAAACATTTTTTTGCCAGAAATGAAGATAGAAAAAGAGCCCGTTTATACTTCAACGATAACGATAAAAAAGATAAAAAGCAATTGTTCATAAAGAAATTAAAATAAATAAGAGAAGTTTTTACACTAGAAAGATTCGATAACGATTTATCAGTTATAACAACATATTTTGACAAATCAAATCAGTTGACATCACAATCATTTAAAAACATTAAAATCGTAGTAGTAGCAACGATTTTATCTTTAATTTGTCGGAGCGCCCGAGGGGTTTACCCAACCCCACGTGGGTCTTATGTACACCTTCTTATGTCCACTAAGCTCACAAAACGCACCTCCACATCAAAAATCCTGCCACGGGCCTATTAAATAAAGGGACTGAGGTGGTGTAGAACCTCCATCTGTAAAATTTTTTCTCTGGGGCCACCCTCCGTTTCCAATTTCAGGATCGCGATTGTATAGTGTCATGATTAGGGTAAATTGTACTTTAATTCGTTTTTTTTATTTTTTTTTTTATTTTTTTTTTTTTACTCAATTTGTCAAATAGAGTAAAAACAATTTAAAAAGTTTAATTTCAATGCACCAAAATACTGACAATTTACGCACATCAGCACTAACCATGGTGGCCTTGACATAATCTGGACTGTCTCTTTCAGCACACAGTGTTAAATAAAAAAATCACTGCAGCCCCCGACCCATTTTTATGCCCACTCCGAGTTAGATGATGATAAAAAATCTTATCTAATTTTCCAATCAAAAATGAAACAAGAACACAGAGAAATATACCTCTCAATTTCGCTGTTTAATTATCAAGGAATAACAACATCAAAAAGCCAGACATAGTGAGAAATTTGCAATTGCTTAAAACATTCATATTTTTTATTGTTTGTATTTACATAAGAATCCATACTAATAATATGGTCACACAATTATAACCAGTATAAAAGCTCTGTTCATATTATCAAAAATTTCTTTGACAATAAACTGCTGTATGCCCATATATGGTCATGATGTGCCCATATATAGTAATGATGTGCCTATATATGGTCATGATGTGATGTCATCATGACCATATTTAGGCATGTCACATGCTTTTGTCAAATAAAATCTGATAGTGTGGACAGGGCTTTTATTATAAATCTACCTGACTACAAATCATAGAAGTCTATACACACACAAACACTTGTTCTCCCAATAAAACCTGTTGATACAAAATACACATTCGTTAAATAATTTCTGTTTGATAACTATTTAATTATATGCCCTATATACCATTCATATGTTCTGCACTATAACATCAACGTGCATTATTTTTTAGGTTATTTAACATACATTTACACATGTGGCTTCCATGATTCTCTGATTAATTTGTTAATATCATTAGCAGCGAAAATAATTCTCAAAATAATTAATATCAAAATATAATAATTAATGTTGTAATGCTCATATTTCTTATAAGATTCCATAGTTTACTTCATTCTCTCGCATGTACTAAAACATAGAGTTTGAGCGCAGGCATATATATTAGTAATGCCACAGATAATTTATATATACTATATATAATACTTGTGGTGGTACTGAAAGGTTATACAGTAAATATATAACCCTTACCTGTAACTTCAGAAACCAACAGCAGTATAAATTTCATTCATCAAGTTTTCCTTCAATATTAACTACTACAGATTGTAAAATGTTCATTAGAAACAGAGCTTAAAAATTCAAAATGAGAAATAGTTCTCCCAAAAACATATTCCATTATAATATGTGAAGGATCAGTTATAAAAATCATATAATTATTATAGGTGTATATCAGGACACCTGCCAAATAAATAGCCAGTTGATGGTTGTGGTTGTTGCTTGTTGTGCTTCATTTATTATATTCCTTTGTATGGGTTTTCGATTACTTCATGGTTTAATCATATATAAATATTTATTAAATAAGTTTTTTATGCGCCTTCAGATCATTTGATTGTAGAGGGCATTTCATATGTACAAAACCATTACGAAAAACATGTTTACCATCGTTCAACCACATCTTATGGCACAGACTGATAAACACCTATATAACATCATTATGCCATATATGGCCAAATGTTTGTCCCAAAAAAAAAAATAAATAAATAAAAATAGTACTGAGTTTAAGATTTGAAACAGTGAGTAATCTGGGATGGTTTATTCTGATCAATCACAAATAACTTGCATGTGACATGTACAGATCAACCTATTCGATATAGATACTGTGATGCGCAATCATATCATTTTAAATTTAAATGAAACGATATTCATAATCTTTTGCAGGTCATGCCATACAACAGAGATAATAGCATACGGTGCCAGATTACTCGTCGACTCAGATCTACAACTCACTATTATGGACAAAGCCTGACTTTTAATTTCGATATCATTGACTGGTATCTTTGTTATGATCGGTAACCAAGTTATGACTTGTAATCTAGTTATGATCGGTAACCTAGTTATGACTGGTAACCTAGTTTTAACTGGTAGTTTAGTTATTTCCTGGTCATTACTATTGACTGGCGACTTACTTCATTTATGACTGGTAAACAAGTTATGATTGGTAACCCAGTAATGAATAATCTAGTTGCCATTGACAGGTAACCAAGTTACCATTGACTGACTAGATACCACTGACTGGTAACCTAGTTATAACTGACAGGTAACTTAGTTATGACTGGTAACCTAATTATACACTTATTGCTGAATTAAAAACTTGTTGCTAACTTAAAAACTGTCTATAAATTAAAACTTGATCATGACCGGATTAAAGCATTAAAATGAATAATCTATGTTAGCGGAAGGTAAAAACAAAACAGTTGGACAATGAAAAAGCACAATACAGAGGAGAGAGAATAACAAATTAATCCTGGAATGATTGACAGATGGGACACAATGGTTAGTTAAAATGGGGAAAATCAGTTAATGCCAAAAATCGGTCCCTGTGTGTTGAATCCTGCACCGATCCTAAAATTACATAACGTAATATATATTTTTTTTGTACATTAACATATAATCATTTTCCATATGATTAATCCAGCGAATAAATTGAGGGCGAATTACTATTTATTGTTGTAACTGACAAACAAGCCTTCTTGTACTCGGAATTAAAATGAAGATGGCAAACCAGAATGTATTTGACTTCTGAGGAATTACAGCGGAATACAATAGATTTATTTTTGTACTGATCTCTCTATATATAAAACAGGTGCATTATAATAGTTGTGAAGGAATTTACTATTAAGAATTCTAAGTGGTCATGGTACACACTACTAAAATATAACAATGATTATATATTTATATGAGTTATATTTTGTAATTGTTCCTAGGGAATCAAGGTCATTTACATAATCCACTGTATGAAGCCCTGTCTCTTATACACATCTAGATGTGTATAAGAGACAGGATTTGAAACAGTGAGTAATCTGGGATGGTTTATTCCTGTCTCTTAAAAGATGGGGGGGGGGGGGGAGTATAATAATAATAATAATGTTTTTATTGACTATGCCAAGTGTGAGTTATCTCATTTTCAGTCATCTCACTTACATTAGTATTTTCATACCAATAAAAGGATTAATGAATATTAATGAGTTCCTTGAAACTGACTACCAAGCAAGTGAAAAAAAATGGAGTTTTACCTTAACTGTTATTCTTCAAATAATTACTTCAAATTATTTTGGGAATAAATTATATACTAGGGAAAACATTTTAACTCTGGAACTCCTTTCTATTATTAATTCTGTTGATATATTCACCGAGACCTCCTGGTTTTTCCTCATTTCATTAAGATCTATTAAAACTATATACAATAATTAAACGTTGATGAATGGAACTTTAGAGATATATAGCCTCCTAGACGCAACTAACTGAGGATGTAAAAATAACCCATTGCTTCTCTATTGAAATTAAGTTTAATTTTGTCCGTCATCTGTTGGGATAATCTAAAGCCGAGCACTGTCTGCCAACGGCGACAAATCCAACTGCGCTCCATGCAAGCGGTAGACGATGATGCGACGCCTTCTGTTAATTGTAGCTGGCAGGCTGAACGGACTTTCATAAGAAAAGATCCATTGTGTGCACATCATGGCATTTTTCATAGTCGCGTCGGCTGTTAACTGTAGCAGTCAGGCCCGACTAAAGGTTCTTGAACAGTTTGTTGTTGCCTGTTGAATCCTACTCCTGGCCAAAGCCTTCAGTTTCTTCAATGGCAAAGCTTAGTTTTTCCCATAACTGCTCATAGTTCTTATAAGGAGGTAAGTCAATTCTATTAAAACTGCAAAAAAAATGGGAGGTTAAATAAATTTATATTAATCGGTACTCACAATTTCCAATCAATTTTTCCAATTTTTCCAGTTTAAACAGAAATATAAAAAAAATGCAAAATCAAAAGATCATCAATAATAATGGTAATATTAATAACAATAGCAATAACAAACAATAAAAAAACAATAATAATATAACCATTTTTATATAAAGTAAATGCATTTCAAACACTTAGGTGCTGTACAGTAGAGGTTAATCAAAATTTTACACATACAATTCTTTTTTAAGCACCTACAAAACCCTAAAAAAAATGTCATTAATTCATGAATATGCTATTAAATTAATTAAATCTTAAAATACTAAAACCAAATAATTGTAAAGCATTATTTTTAAAAGATGTCTACTGTATTCTAAATACCTACCAAGTATGACTCCTTGGCAACCACGTTTCTTTACCAACCTTCTCAATACAAAATTTCTGTGGACCGTTACTTCCTGTAATACAAATTGAAACAAAATTCAGTAAGATTTCATTCCTTTCACCACAAAGTGCAGCAAACTAAATAAAAAAATGGAAAAATGTATACAATACATGTGTACTCCATTTTAACTTGTACATAAAAAACTGTACAGACAAATCAATTTAATGCAATAATTAGTTAATTTTTTTAAATTTATTTTTTAACAGTTAATTTATTTTTATTTAATTTTTTAAAATAAATAAGTGATGTTTTATTATTTATATTATGTGTAATTTCCTAAGAATGGGTTGATGGTCTTTTGAGCTAAACTGTCACTATTATCTATTAGACCTACTGTAGCTATCTTTGGTTATTTTTCTATTTGTTTATTATTTCTATTGATTATACTGTGTAAATTGTATTGTACATTTGTTTGGCTTTATAAAGAAAGAATGAATGTAAAATGAAATATATAACCCTAATATATTTTAAGACAATTCGTTTCAAACATAGAAACAGCATAAAATTGAAAGTAAGAAAACATTTACTTCTCATTTAATTCATTAATAGCATCATTAAATATGAGTATTTATTCATTATGAATGAATAAACAAACTGACCCATAAGTTCACTAAATCCCCCGACTGGTAGACGACAAGTTCCTGTGACAAACTGTAGTAAGCGAGATCTCTTCTCGTTATCCATTTCCTTAACAGCACGCCAAAACCATTGCACTTGTTTACTATCTCGTGTATAGTGCCGATATATAGTATTCCTTTGCCAGTCTTCAATGTCAAATTCTTGCATTCCACACAGCATTAACTGTTGACACAATGCAGAAAAAAAATTTATAATATTCAAAATAGTTATACTTTCATCATTGCTCTATCAAATTACTTGAAATAATGCCATCAACTAAATACAGAGTGAGGTCTTTTCAATACATCACTTAGAATGATTAAATACTAGAGTATAAGCTTTTCAGGAGATAACTATTCATATGAGAAAAGTGAATGAGGATGAACATGAAATGGACAGTACAGTAAAACGTCCATTTTACGTACCCCTTGGTACCAAGGGGTGTCCGTAAATTGAAAAATTCCAATACCTAGGCATCTGCTGCCATTGAGCGCTGATACGCTGACGGCGGTCAGGCCTAGCACGAATCAACAGTGCAGCAGCATGGTGTACCATGCTAGGGCCTAGCTGAATTTACCTTCGATAAAAACCTAATTATTTTAATCGTTGGCATTTTTCCACTTAACAAAATATTATTTTAACTTTTTTATGGACATTTATTTATTTCTTTATAGTTGTTAGATCGCCGAATTGTGTTGTTAAAATGCATTTCGCGATCATATCTAGCATTCACGATGTCAATAAGTTGCTGACCCCAACTCAATCCGACGACACTTGCGTTGGTAGTTCTGGTTAGCTTTATTACATTAATAGTGATTATTATACCAGAAATGGAAGAAAAGATCGAACAACAAATACAACGAACTTGATTTTATTTTAAGAAAAATATACTTTGTAAAACATACTTTTTTTACGGTAATAATTGGTCAATGATGACATCATCGGGGGGAAAGACCATTCGTAAAATCACCTATTCATAAAATGGACGTTCGTAAAATGGACGTTTTACTGTCCTATTGTCTTTCTGGGCATGTTCCAGTGAAAGCATCAGTAGCAATAGTAGGTATATCGAGGAAAATATTCATGAACCAAAACTATTTTTAAGAGAAAGTGTAGACATCTAAATGCTATGTTGGGGCTCAATAAAGGCTCAGAGGCAGTCTTCCTAGTAGTCCATTTGTTATATTTTTACCTCTAATTCTCTTTCGTCAAAGTACTGTAGCCACTGCAGAGGGACAACTTCATTGAACCCTTCAAGAAATGACTTCATCTGCTCATCAATCCCACGGCTAAATCGCCATTGAGTCATCAGACTGCAAGATAACAAAATCAAAAATCTTATTACTGCTTCATGACATCATGAATATACATATTATGTTATAACATTATTTTTATTAATATGACCACCAACACTATGTTCCAATGATACAAAACCAATTTTCATGAGAGTTAGCATAAGTACTAGTGGTGTTAGGCGCGATCTATAAATTATCCCCAACGACAGAAACAGGTTTGGAATAATTGTGCATTACAAATGCATCTAGGAAAGCGATCATCTAATTATTGTGCCTCAAGAATATTAATAAGCTAAGCCAATAACTGTATTTCCGAGTCTAGGCTCAAACGTGACATCGTTGGCAAGAAATGAAATGGAGTGATGCATTCACAAAATACCGTACATGTAAAATAACCATTTGAAACAAAACATTGAAATAGTAAAACACTAGAATATCATTTGTGGATGGTTTAACCATTTTAATGAGGTTGAACCATCCAGCATATTGTACAAATATTGACGTAGCCAACAGTTGTACTCCGTAAACATGTGCTAAAGCGAGACGATATGACCATGTGATCAAACCTCAACAAACTCCTTCAGATCAACTGCGGCTGATCCAGGTTGAACAACTCACGACAAGCTTCCAAACGGCATTTCACAGACGCGTTTGGAGAGCTTGTCATATAACAATAGCAAAAGTGTTTTACCCGTTTCTGTTGTTAGGGATAATTTGTAGTGGTGTTAGTACTAGTAGAGGTCAAAGGGTCACCGAGAGCAGGCCTTAGTTCCGGGGCAATGCAGCAACTAGGCCTCAATAGCAGCGGTCTAGGAGATGCCTACGGGCACTAGCAAGGTTCAAGGACAGAGCCCAGTTGGGACCTGGGAGCAAAGCCTTAAAGGCTATGGCCTTTTAGGCAGTAATGATTGGTTGTTTGTTGTATTGGTTGTGTATATACTGTACTTACTGTATATATTCATCTTTGTTTTCTTCAGTGACAGCAATATTTGCGCCATCCTCTTTCAAATCATGAGACTCCAACTTCCCAAGTATTTCAAAGTCTGCAGTGAAGTACATGTCAAGGCCGCATTCTTCAACATCATTTTCCCTGTTGACAAACAACACAATCATTTTTTGCACTGAGTTCACTACTTGATTAGTGCTATGCAAGACTAGAAATACTCCCAATGGAACAAGGAGGCTCCATGGATTGGCACAGCATCGAGGTTGGGGTTTCAATCCCTCATGCATTTTGCTTGTGTCATTTAACAAGGCAATTTATCTGCACTGCTTTTGGTACCTGGGAGTGTTAGAATGCCAAATGCGCTGATTAGCTTCTGCAAGGTTACGGAATACTCCCCTTGGAAGCTGAGTTTCTGCTCAAGGCGTAATAATAATGTGAGTGCATGATGACTCCTTAGCATGATGTACTATAAATGTACAAATATTATTATCACCTCCGTCTGTCTGTCAGCAAGATTACGCAAAAACTAATTAATGAATAATCAACAAATTCAGTAGACCGATACATAATTAATAATCAAAGAAATGTCAAAGGACAAGGTCAAGGAAATTCTATTTTTTTACCCTCGAGCATATAAGAAAATAATGGAATCGCCCCACGTATTGAAGCATTGCTCAAGAAAACAATGGGCCTGAATACGGTAGGCGATTCCATTAATTTCTTGAGGGTAAGCTGCAGCACTCAAGAAAATAATGTGCCTGCGATTCAATTATTTCATTGAGGGTATACTGCAGTTTCGCCCATCATACATAGCCTGCGCATTGTTGGTACTGTATTCCAGTACAGGGCAGAGGTATACACACTATGGAATGACTGCTCTAGTTATTAAATGTATCCAAAGATCAGGGATCTGTATCTTACAAAGCCAAAAGTATGTTGACGCATAGTGACAAATGAATCGACATTTTCCCCCCTTAGGTTCATTAGCAACCATCGCACTCCCCATGCATTTTGCTTGATAAAATAATAGCCTCAGAGCTAAAAGTCAGGTTATCAAACTTTATTATTTAAAATTTTAAAATTTGTTGGTGCAGGTACAAATGCTAAAGCTTTGGTCCTTTTTAATGACCATTCCAAATGTGTAACCAGAGTTCTAAGAGGGATTAAAATTTTAATATTCGATTTTATACCAGTTTTATGTGACTCTTGATATGCTCGTAGCATTTAATGTGAATAATCGATTGTGAAATTCTTTCTGCTTTATATTTGTACCATTTTAATGTGATTTTTTAACCTTTGATGTACCATTTTAATGTAAATTTTGTGTTAATTCAGTTTTTGCTGCGATTACAATATTGCAGTCTCCTGATGAAGTCCACTGTGTGGATGAAAGCTAGAGAATAAATTCTATATTGTTAGTCTTAAAAGTGCTGCTGTCATTTATTTTATATTGTTCTATAACAGACTAACATGGCTACCCTTTTTATTTATCATGAATATTGGAAATGAAAAAGAACACTAAATGTTTAAATTTCAAACGTTTGGGTATACAAGAAATAGACATGACTTACTTAATCCAAACTAAGGAGTTGTAGAACTCAGGGTCGATAGTTTCCAAGTCCTTAAGAGTCAGTGTTTTACTTAGCATACGCTTGTAGAAAGGCATGGTGAAGCCACTGTAGATAAACTTACCATGATACAGAGCCTGATGAAAGACGGAAAATACAATAACAATAGAGGGTGACAAAGTAAATTGGAAATGTGAACTTAAAGGCAACATATTCAAAAACATTAACTCTCCCCATATGCCACTGAACCATATTATGTGTATATATTACACAAAAAAGTTGATGCATAGGCATAATGTTGATTATTTGAGTTTTGCTTTAATTATAATGAATATAATTTTGTGTGTGTTACAATTCCCTATTCATTGTTATATTTACAAGATATACTCTTTGCAAAGAATTTGGGAGAAAACCTAAAAAATTCAATGAAAATTTTGAATAACTTATTTAAAAGGATAAAAAAAATTATTAACTTCCAACCAGAAAAAAAAAATAATTTGCTTTCATTAAATATATAATTAGCTTTTGCTGACTCATGTACATACATATTACTTCAAAGGGTCTATAAATACAGCAAAGGTAATTGAAAGGGAAATTTCTCATTCATTGTTTAAGAACTTACAAATTATGCAATTCAAATATGGAATTGATTTTTTTTTTAGCTCATGACAGACATTAGATATTTTAGTAAAATAGGAAGTTGATATGCTTCTTTTTCAAAAGTGTGATCTGAAGAAAGGATTCCAGTTACCATGGCAATAAAGCGTCCGACAAACTTGAAGTAATGCAGGTGATCTGGATTGACGGATGACGCAGCATTTATTTGCAAGCTGTAGTTATTCTTACTGGCATACTCAAAAAGACAATACATTGGATTCAACACCTCATGAGAAAGCGTGAAAAACCATTCCCTGAAAAATAATTTATATAATTATAAATTGGTCTCTGATTTACACAGCGGTTAAGGAGATATTTCAAAAGTGAATTGTTTGGAATTCACATTTCTTCAAATATGAAATCAAAGCAAATTTCAGGGGCTCTCACCTATTCCCCTACCAAGTTATCACTAAGATTGTTCCAATACTATGATTTCCTTGAATTTTAGGAAGGCAAGCTGCTAGTAGTAGTGGCATTGTTGAGAAGCCGATCACTCGAAAGAACTCCGCGATGCAGCGCTATGCAAATGAGCCAGGAACAAAAGCTGCTGCAGCACGTGAAGGACGATTACCTTTGAATTCTAATGTGTTCCCAGCCAGCAAATGCTCAGCAGGCTTAGTTTACGAAAAAACTGAACATGGCAATAATCACTATGGCTGCACAATCGTTTCCACCTTGAAGCTAATACTTTTATCTTTCATGATATACCAAACATATTAATATTTCTACAAAAAGAGTTTCCAATTTAATGAAACCTTTACATCGTATAGTATATTTCAATTTCCATAAATTGGATAAAACTGATAATTCTAATTTAAGATATTAGGGATTAAGGAATGATCGACGATTATAACAGTCAATTTGGTGTGAACAAGTGTGGACTATTCGAAAATTCAATAAAAAGTCAAAATAATTTTCAGTTTTACACTGCCTTAGCTTTATAGATGAACCAATCGATCTTTAGACAAAATTATAATAAACACAGAAATAGTTGTTACAGAAATATTTTGGGGAATTTGTTCCTGAAATTAACGCATATTAACATGCTAAAAGTCAGAAAAAATCAAATCAGGGGAACATTGTTAATTTTCAAGATATTTAATGAGTTAAAATCAAACGGTTTATTGCACACCTGCTATGTTGAAGTGTGTAAAAGCATGTCCTTGACAAGTTGTTGCTAACAAAAAAATGTTAATGATAATACACCTGCACGCGATCCAAAGGTGGGGAACACATTGGTTTGTCGCGTCAAAGGGATCTGTTACCGAGTGATCTACTTCTCAATAATACCTCCATGGTTATAGTATCAAAAGAATGCTACCTTGCTACTCCACCGTAATCTAAACCTTCCTCTCCTCGGAAGATAATGTAAAGTCTCCTACGTAGATCATATGCCTGTAGTCTCATTATCTACAGAAAATAACAATTAATGCAGAGTTAATCATCATCATCAGTCTGTGAGGACATGGATATTCACATTAAGAATAATTATAATGTACAGAGGTAAAAGGTAAGTTGAATGAAGTAGGAAAACTTCAATTAAAATTGTGTGATTTAATTAAATTAATTTAACTTAATACACACAACTCCTTTTTGCAAAATGTATGTAAAATTCATTTTCCAAAAAAAATGTTTTTTCAATTAATTTTGCATTTTGTATTTCATGCAGTAATTTTGATGTATGAGATTGCTTAATTCTTTGATGGTAGCTTATGACTGGAGGACTCCAGTGGAAAGCAGTATAAAAACAAGATAGGATTGTAGCAACAATTACATTACACCATTATGGATGTAGGAACAATTAGAATGTTGCATAAATGACTTTTGAACCAAAAAAGAATATTTGTCAATAGGTTAGAACATATCGAAGATAGACTGACTGTGGAACACATACATTGCAGGCATGTACATTACCTGGTTGACCAGGGCTACTTATTAAATGGCTACTGAGTAAAAAAAAAACCTAAGGGAAGTTGTTATGACTAAGGGGCATAATAAACATAAGCATTGGATTTGCATATTAAATGGTAAGCATAATGAAAGTTAATAGATTATGGGGACAAAGATTAAATGGTTGCCCTGGGGTTGAAATTTTAAATGGTAGCCCAGGTTTAACATAGCCATAATCAACTATGTGAGAAATATTGACAAAATTATTAATAATTTTATCAAGGAATAGTTGCCCTAAAAGGCAATGTGTTACCTGGTGAAAGGAATCTTCAAACAATGTACTCCTAGAAACGCTAATCTTGACATGACTCGGTAATGAATTGCTTTGACAAAGGTATCGGAATTGGCCTAATTTCCACCGAAAACTCCTCTCATATGCAGCTGGTACACCATAGGCTCCCTTTGGCCTGTGAAAATAAGATAATTATATAAAATATAATTAACTGCAACAATTAAAACAAAGGCTAAAACAACTTTCTTCCTATACAAGATGTCAAGCAAGAGGATCAAGTAATAAATACAATGTTATCAACAACGGCTTCATTGGGATACCTAATATTAGCTTAGCTAAAGGGGTAAACATCTATAAAAATGCTGAAGAAACAAAGATACACAAAGTAAAATCTTACCCTTTAGTGGCTCCTGGCCTTGGATCTTGGAATGTTGTGGCCCTTGTATTGTGATCTACAAAGTACAATATACCTTCCTTTGTGTAGCGTATCTCCCATCCCTCTGGCAGTGGCTCCTCAGTGTGTTGTCTACAGAGTACCAAAAAAAAAAAACCCCAAAAAAAAACAACCCAAGAAATCAACATAATTTACTTAAAAGATAAACTGTTTTTGATGAGTTAACAAAACTTGGGAAATTTGAATTGGTTACTTTAAATTTCCAACTTTCACTTTCATTATAATGAGGAAAAATTATTCGAGCAAACAGATGCATGTAGAATAGCATATTACATCTATATATAATCTCTGTTGTTTGCTGTGCAATAAGAACTAGTGCTGTTGAACGACACATGTGCAAGAGTGTGAGGGATGAATTGTTTTAATCGGATTTGAAGTTCCAATGAAGACTCAATTGTTTAAGGCATCTGCATAAGCAGCAGAAGATACCGAATTCAAATCCCAGTTGGGACAACATTTTTTTTCACACTCACAGATTCCACTTCATAAATTTACATATCATTTATTTATTTTCAAAATTTATATAATAATATAATAATACTAACTCTTGTGATCCTTGAGTTCTTGGATCTTCCCACTGTGTGGTTCTTGTAAGGTGATTCACAAAATATATCCTACCATGCTGATCTATACGCTTTTCTGCAGGTAAAAAATTTACAGCCACTAATTACTCCCTCATATATATTATTTATTCATAATAACATAATTGGTATCTGAAATATGCATGTAGAAATCATTGCTAAATAATACAATTTTGTGTTTATTTTTCATGTTACAGGGAACAGTACAAAGAGATCAAACATCATAACCAACAAGCTTAATAGTACTTGTTAATTAAAAAATAATTATAATTATTATATATTACATTATATACAGTATATTATATATTACATTATAACATATGTGATACTCACCCCATCCTTGAGGTAAAGGTCCTAGGGGGTCACTAGAATCTACAACACCCTAAATATAAAAAAGAAAACAATTTTTAAAGTATTTTTTATTTAATGTATTTTAATTTTCAGGTTTTTCTCTACAAAGTAATTATTCTCTGTTTTCCTTCCTTATTACTACAATAAACTACAGAACAGGGCATGTGCCCTGGGTGCTAAACTGGAGCAAAAATAAGCCTCAACGAAACTTTTATATGGCTACCAAACGGCAAAGATATTTATGAAGATTTTAATTTATCAACTGACAACCACAGCAACAACAAGCTCAGATTAAAGAACCTAAGAGCTAAAAGGGGGGTGCCATTTCAATTCTTGCTCCAGGCACCAAAAACACTAGTTATGCCCCTAGTGACATACCGGCAAGTACAACCGCGAATGCAACTGCTGTACAGCTGGGTTTTGGAGTTGTTGATGCTGCATCTGCCACTGCTGGAACGTCCTTACCGATTCATTGGTTGGTCGTTGCCATGTGGTAGTACGTGTGTTATGGTCAACGTAATAGACACGTCCTTGTGGATCGTGTCGTCTTTCCCATCTGCAAGAAAAAGAAGAATTTATGGTAAAAAAAATCACTTAAAAAATAATTATTCTCATGTGAAAAATGTTCCAACTGGAGTATTTGGGGGGGGGGGGGGGGGGGGAGGGGCCC